TTCGGGTATTAAAAATTTTAAAAAACTGATTCAGTTTATTATCGACTGAATTTACTGAAACTGGTTCGTTAAAAAATTTTTAACTGGCCGATAAAATCAGTGACAATTGCTATATTAAAAATCCTAATTAATTTATTGATATCACCCAGTTTATTTGATTCAATAAACCGAATTCAAATAATGGTGCGCAGTTGTCTACTTAATTTCGAAAAAATAAGAGTTTATCAAGGAAGTAATTTTTCATTACCATTGTAATGACTTCTACACAAATAAATAATATACTCATTTTCATTTAAGTTCAAACAATATATAGAATTATTATAAGTTCAAAACAGCCAATATATATTTACTTTAAATTAAACACTATTTATAATCAATTATCTGAACAGAGAGTTTCTTTTAGATCGAGGACGAACCAAAATTTACATTAGAATACACAGGATAAAGCGATAGTAACTAGTAACAATAAACGGAAGATATTTTCCAAAACAGACTCTTACAAAATTAGACTACGGTTTTGTTTTACTGAAACGGCGAATTTTTTTTTTTTTTTTTTTTTTTTTTTTTTTTTTTTTTTTTAAATATAGATTTATATACATATTACATGGGGTTTTTAGAAATCTCTACTTTTCTGTGTGAGCTAGAAAAATTAAATGCTTGGGGCGAATTAAAAGCCATTGGTTTCGAGTGGCAACTAATGGGTAGCCATTGGTTTAGAGTTTCAAATGACGATATTTAATTTGTTTTCATTGGTTTTGCAATTTTTTAAATGTACGAGTCTTCGATGTTATGAGATGATATCAACCAAATTTTTCAACGCTATATATCTAAATCACCTTTCATATAATTTATTACATGCTACTGCAACTACCATTGCTATCTTTTATGCTATTCAGTTCGAAGAAGAACCAGAATTTACATTAGAATGCACAGGATTAAAGCGATAACAACTAGTAACAATAACCAGAGGATATTTTTTAAAACAGACTCTTGAAAAATTAGAGTACGGTTTTGTTTCGCTAGAGCGGCGAATCTTTTTAAAACGTAAAAATATATTTATATCATATGCGGTTTTTAGAAATATTTACTTTTCTGTATCAACTAGATAAACTAAAAGCTTGTGACCAGCTAAAAGCCAATGGGTAGCCAATAGTTTCAAATGACGAAATTTAATTTATATTTTCATTGGTTTTGCTATTTTTTAAATGCATGGATCTTCGATATTATGTGATGATATCAGCCAAATTGTGCAACATTATATATCTAAATCGCCTTTCATTTTAAGTTATTACTTGCTACTACTAGTATCATTTATGCTATTTGGTAATGAGGTAGCATTTCGTATTACTTGTAGTATTTATTGCTATTTTTCTTGAATTTATTTCATTTAATTAATATTCCGTTCAGTTACATAATATTCAGTATGTTAAGCATTCATTTACTTAAAATTCAATAAATAACTTGTGAAATTACACAAGTTCGTGAGTTATTTAATGTCCACTTACAACTGGATTCCCTCTTTATGAATTTCTTTAGATGTGAGTAAGAAAGATTAGTGATGAATTTGGAAGATATAGCAAAGGAGCCTCTTCTGCTAGGAAGGTAATTTAAGTCACTACAGATAGAAGTTATCATTTCTGAATTTTATTTTCCGATTCTTTATAGTAACACTGGTACTTAGCCAAGAGTCATTCATAACAATTTGAATCATTGTGGCAGCATCCTCGAAAACGAATCAGCACTTTTTGAAGAGAGTACATATCCCTAGAAGCGAATGTCTCCTTTGTAAACACCCTAGAAAATTAATAAATTGTAATAGACGCAAAGTAATATATTAACAAAAGGAAAACTGGAATTTTGTACCACCTTAAAATTCCAGCCATTTCATTTGCTGTACATAAAATGGTTGATAGGAAATTGGTGCCTTGGAGCGCATGATTTTGACTCAAGCATACGCGTTGTTGTTCCGTATTGGAAAATAATTATACTCCCAAAGCGGGTGCACTTTTGTGTACATTTACTCTTTTTCAACATTTAACTTTCAGTTTTCTTGTTCTGTGAAGCCGACATTACGAATTATCTCGTTACGTTCTGGCACATTAGGTAATTAAATTGCACATTGTATTCATTAACAAGAAGCGTGAGATCAAAATTGTTTTATTTTAACTAAAAGAATCAGAAGTCTTAATTGCTATTTATGATTATGGTAAAGAATGGGCGATACTTTTAATGCTAACTTTTAAAGCCCTCTCTTCATCGAATTTAAAAATAAATAAATAAATAAATAAGTTTTCGGTTAAGATGTGCTGATTTCTTTACTACGTTTAGGATGGACACAGCAAATAATGAAATATTATTTGCTGTGTGAAATATATTTATATATTTCATTAATAATATTTTTATTTATTATTTATTCATATTAAAATATGAAAATAAATAATGAAACTATTTATATTAAAAAATAGTAAAAAGAAGAAAAGAGATAGATTTGATTCTCTGAAGGAGACCCGGGATTTAATGTAATGAAAAAGTCTCCTAAATAAGCACGATAAACAATACAACTGCTTATATTTAACTTACAGGCTACAAAAGGTGAACTTTTTTTAAAACTACTTAGCAGGTACAATAGCACAGATGGAAATTATAAAAAAAAAAAAAAAAAAAAAGCGTTGAACATTAAGAATTTGCATCTCTTTGCTTCATATACAACTAATTAATTGATTTTTTTAATATACGACTGATTAATTAATATTGATAACATTATTAACAAGAAAGAAACCAAATGTTTTGTCATACAGATGTCATATGTACTCCAAACTACAATATATTCAAAATTAATCATCAAAACACGGGCAAAAATAATTCGTATATTAAAAAAGAATAACGAATGCAATAGAGCGTTTTTACTGCGTCCTTCTCACTCAGCTTTATAATCTACATCTGCTTATTACTTAACTTCGAGAGATTCAACTAATATTCTCTTTTCTTGCAAGCAGTCCACAGAAATTTTGCCACACGCAAAATTACGCACAGTAAAATGACGACTTGCCGAAGTTGGCAACCAAAGCTGTCTAGCAACCATCCCCAAAATTGGCAATTAAGAACTTCTATTTATTTACGATTTAGTATAAAGATTAAATGAAGTTATAACTGATAAATCTATATCAGGCACATGTAATAAATTTATTAAATTGCAAATCAATGTAAAATTGCAATTTAAATTCATTTACAAGCTCATTCAAAATTAATACTGTTACTCTTCTGTTATCAGGACTGGATTCAGAAGTGCATGTACGCATATATACATATATACATGCATACATGAACACATCCATTCATCCGTGCATACATTTCTGGACCCGGTACTCAGAACAGAAAAGTACGCATTAAAATTAAATATTACAACTGAAGTGATAATGATATACAAAACAGTGGTTATAAATAGTCAATTTATTATTTTAGGCTCACGGTAACAGCACCGAAGTAATTTATCATAAAAATTATAAAAAGGCTACATTCAAAATATAATATTTCTATACCATATATTAAAGAGATGAAAAACAAGATTACGGAATTATATTATTAGTAAAGTTGGATGAGGCGTGGGGAATAACACGTACATTTTGGTGTCTACCCAATAATAGTAAGCAATAATAAAAATGCATGTAAGAAATCTCTCAAAAATAATAACCAATTAATTTTAATCGATACTAAACATGATAACATAAGGATATATTAAACTGCACAGATGTAACTTTACAATGCACATTGAGAATTTCAAAATTTGTTATCCGTTATATATAATACGATGAATACAACCGTATCTTTCAAAACAGCAGAGATTTACATAAAATCTGCACTTTTTCTAGAAATTAATATAAATTAATTATTAATTTGGATTAATAATGTACAGTAAAACTTTAATTAAGGTAATGAGACATCATATTGTATTTTTTCGAAGAGAAAGGAAATTTCATTACAGTTTTGCTACAGTCACTGTAGTTTACAGTTTTGCATAAGCCAAAATTCAAGTGAATATGTGAAGAAAACCTCATATAGAATTACTGCGTTGCCGTATGTACCACACATGATTTTTAATCTTGAATATCAATTATGAGGTTATTTTTGTTCTGAAAGCAATGTGTATATCGAATTCTTAAATTTTTTAAGACCTTGAATTCAGTAAACCGTTTTTAAACCTACAGCAGTCTTCCCAAAATTGCAGAAAATTCAGTGTTAGACTCACGCTGGTTTTGTGGGAAACAGTATACATTACAACGGACAAACCTATCTTCAAACAATAAAATCGAAACTGGCGAAACGAAAAGATTTTCATTTTTTAAAACGAAAAATAACGCATCATTAAAAATATTATGCTTTATAAGAATAGGAAGAATTACATCAGAAATAAAAAAACACTTGGATAAAAATTGCTAATAAAATTTCTGCCCTGAAAAATACGTATAGGAGGAAACAATATTATTAACAATAAATATTACTTTGCATGTAAATATCTCATTTTGCCAAAAAGAACGTATAGCGTAATGAGAAAAGATAGTTTAAAAGAACTCTGACACTTATATGAGATTTTTCTGAGAACGTTTAGAGACAAATCTGAAAAAGCATGTAATTCGTGCAACTACATATTTTAATTATACAGTTTAACTTACAACTCCTACCATCAGTATGTAATAACAATACCACATTAAGAAACTTGCTTTTAATTTAATTTAGCTACTTGAATTTTGCAAACACAAAGTAGTCTGTGATATTCAAAAGATTTCAAAATTAGGATAGAAAGATTTTTAAAATTCTTTATTTTACTCACTAATAAGTTTCTTTTATTTCGTGAAGATATGCTTTACTGAAACCTAAATAGTGGGTGGTAGCAGAGAGAAAGATACATTTATTTTTAAAGTTTTTTTTTTTTTTTTTTCCTTTCCTGTGGATTGTCAAAAAAGGGCCCCCAAACAAAATAAACAGATGTTAAAGGGACTCACCTTCCTGACTTGGTGATGACCATTTCTGTTCCCAAGGCGTGGAACTTATCCCACAAGTCTTTAGATTCTAATGTCACTTTTGGGTCATCTTGGACCCCATCGTCTTCTGGTTCTAATGTCCTGAGCGGCCTGAGGTGGGGGGCCCCATGAGCAGCTAATACGTCTTCCGCCGTTATGTGATGGTGGGGCCCTGTGGGAACGGGTGGCTTTGGAAAAAGAGCCGCGGCCGGAGGCGGATAGCAGGCCGCGGCTGCAGCTGCTGCCAATGCCGGATTAAAGCTCTGGAGGGCCGCTGATAAGTAATGTGGTTGGGTGAGAATGGAATTCATGCTGAAGTCCGTCTGATGAGGATGGCGGGCCGCAGCGGCCGGGGGCAGCAAGAACGGATGATAGGCCATCCCCGGTCCGAAGTCAGCGGATTCGAATCGCATGGGGGGGTCGATGTCGTCGTCTGCGGGCTCCGTCACTTGGGTACCGCGGGAGCGAAGGGAGCTGGTACGCGGACGCGGCGGCTTTGGCACGAGCGGCGCGTGAAAGTGGCGCAGCGCCGCTGTGGACTTTAGCACTCCGGGAACAGTGCTGCTCTTGATTGGCTATTTGGGCGAGGCGGGCCAATCACAGTTCATTTCAGCGCGATCTTCGGCGCGGGCGAACTGGACGCTTTGGAAGTGGCAGGCGCCTGTCTCCACACCAAGGATGCTGAATCTTCTCTTTCTCTACCGCCTCTCCCCTTCTCTCTCTCTTGTTCCTCTCTCTCTCTCTTTATTCTCTCCAACTCTATTGATGGATGTCTATATTCTAAATATCACTCCTCAGACGATCTTTCGGTTCGAATTAATCCCAGAATCCATTTTTAGATGGTCATTTGCGCTATTTCCTTTTTCATATATATTTTTGCTGTCTCTCAAAGATCAAATTACACAAAAATGTATTTATACTTTCTTTTAGCCTAATATTATAAACCTCAATGAATGAAAGATTACTGTAGCTATTTCTGCTCGAACCGTTTTATCTTTCTCTGGTTAAAATAGAATATGGGAAGTTCACTGTATGTATTCCAGGAATACTAAATCTTCGTTGAAATTCTACAGCCAATTTTATATTTTCATCGTTAATTAAAATCTATAGGAGCTCTGTTTAACATTTTTTTTCCCCCTATAATTTCAATTTTTTTGTTTCGTACAAGCGAATTTTTACACATCTTTTTTTTTATAAAATAAGAAAGTTAATTTTTATTTTGTTATAAACTGGTTATTATATCCTCAAAATTTAATCTGAAACTTACGAAACGTATTTCTTGCAAGTACAGGATGTTAACAGCTCTGGTCTTTTCCTGATACTTAGGAAGGAAGTATGAGAGGTCAAACTCAATGTCGTAATTTAGAATTTAAAATTTAGAAAACTGAAATTTGTATGAAGGAAAAAATGAAATTCGTTTATTAAAATTACAGCTTTTATGTTTATCACTTTGCTTCTCTGCTTAGCTTGGACAATTAGTTTTATCAGAATAAAATATAATATTGCACGAAATTTTTTAAACTTAATAATTTTAGATTTTTTTTTTTTTTTAAATTTTAAGTTATAATAGTTCTGATCTGCAAGTATTTTCTTATCTACTATTTGTAAAATTATTTTTCTCTACGTCTCCATTTTTTTTTTTTTTTTTTTTTTTTTTCCCCTTTAAGAAAGTTTTAACTTCAAGTTTAAATTTTGAATAGTAATTTTTCTCTCTACAAAATCAGAATAAATTTTCAAGTTATAATTTAATAACTAATTGTTTCCTAACTTTGTCCTTAATAATTGTTCGAATAATAATCCACTCAGTTTAAATAGTTGAAAAGTAATCGATCATTTAGACGAGTTCTACATATTTCTCACGTTCACCATTCCTGAAATAAGTACTCTCCTTTAAACAGGAAATCCTTCAAAATTCCAGCATCAGAAGTAATTCTTACCCAAAATCGGCAACATGTTAGCTGAAATTTATAAGTTCTTCACGAAAAATTTTCACATAGCAGAAACGACAACATTCATTGAAAACTGAAATTTTCGAAACTATGTCTTCAATAACATGCGTGTATCTTCATAAGTGTAATCACAGTTCTTTTTTCTCATGCATTCACAAATAAAACTGATTTAATTTCAACATAAATCGAGATATAATGCGCAAAAAACTTCAATATTTTGCCCACCAGTCACTGTTGCAACATATCAAAGGAACTTCCATAAATACATTTTTATATATTTAATCCCTTTTCTTCAAATTTGAGAGTAAACAGATATAGATATAGTAAACAGATTCACTTATTATTCCAGCAGATGTCATAGGAATGTATCATGACAACTAGTTGCAGTGCACAACCTGGGTGGGGGACGACGCATTCCTTAAATAAGCTCTTAAGCAATAAAAGCTAATTCAAAAGCGCACAAAACGACGATTCACCCACTAGCCATTCTCAACTCCATCTGACATATCTGAAAAACAAAAACCAAATGTAGGCGGGAAGTCAGAACACATCGCGCGAAAAACGACGGAGCCGTCATTAAACCCGTTACTATCGGCCTTCGCAAACTTGGCGCCATGCGCGAGAAGCAAAGCGCCAATAATGCCCGAGACTTGCTCCCAATGGCAACCCTAAACGAATCGTAGTCACACTTGGATCCTCCAAGACGAAAAACCCTCACATTTCTTAGATGGCAAATAGAGAAAGCATAAATAAATAAATGAAATTATAATCGTCCCTTAATACTGAAATGGGCACAACAAGTCCCTATATTCTTTGGCATAAAAAAAAAAACATGTGGCGTCGAATAATACCGACAAAAAATACGAGAGGCTCTCAAAAAGAAAACCCGACACAAGCGCAAAGTTTCGAACACCAAAGCCGACACAACTGTCGCCGAAAGGGGTGGGATATATCGCAAGACCCGCCTCTTTGAATGACGTTACGAAGCGCCTCCACCAACCGCTACGCGCCGGAAGTGCCATAATCTAACACTTGCTTTCCGACTACTACCGCCATCCAGTGGCAAGATAAGAAAGTTTTCTTTATTTCCAAATTTGGTTGGACTGAAGATGCGCGAATTCTATTTTTCTTAAATGCAGTGTTTGTGCTTTATTGAACCTAAGATTTTTAAACCTTGATTTTAACAAATTTCTCATTTTACGTAAAAAACTCGCAAAATAAATTAGCGGCTGCCTATGAAATCAGAGCTGAGCAAGTTCTAAGAGATTTGTCTGAAGTAAAACTAGGTAAGCATGGCATAATTTTTAGTATTAAATAGGCATGTAAATAATGAAAGATGAGCTTTTGTAATGCAATTAGAAGTAAAGTATTGAAAATTTATTTCATTGTTATCTTATTTAAATGAAATGGCGTTTTCTGAAAAAGAAATTAAAGGTTTCTTGGCATACGAGCTATTTGCTAAAAATTATTTATCGTTTGCACCGATGTTAATATGGTTGGATAGTGAAATACACATATTTAATATTAATTCGGTTACTACGCTACTTAAATATGACAAGATGGAAGTATTTCTTTTCGCGATGGAAGTAGAAATGGGCAGAGCAGTTAATGTTTTTAAAACAAAGGGGTATTTATTTGAGAAGCAAAGCCTAACGTTACCAAAAAATGTTATCAAAATAGCTGTTGAGATAAACTTTACATTAATTCCTTTTCTTCTCTAGGATTAATATTTATTCATTTTAATTCAATGCCTATTACAAGCTTATATTTTGATTGCTCTTAAAAAATGTGAGCTAGGCTCTTATAAAATACTTATACTGACTGCTCTTATAAAATATAAGAACTGCCTCTGGCGATATGAAGGTTATTTTTGTTATAGAATTTTGGAAGAACTTCTTTATGATGCTGGAAGAGATGCCTTACAGCATTCACCGTTCGCCACTCTAAAACACTTTGATAATAATAATAAAATCTCTGAATCGTCATTAGTTTTTAAAATTTTTATATTGCACTAAAATTTTAGTCTTTCCTCGCCATGTGAGATGGCTTAGGCTGGAAAACCATTAGCACTTTTTCTCTCAAAATACGGTAAGAAAATACATTTTTATTTAGGTTTAATTTTGTTAGCAGAAAAGCACTCGAAGATACCTGCATCATGAGATGGTATGCCTTCGTGGAGGACTTTTTGAGGGAAATTAGGTCGTGTTTACATCACATGTGGGGAAAACCACAAAAATTCTCGTGCAGTCAGTCCGTTCGGAGAATATGAACTTGGGCTAAACTGCCAGTGTTAAGCGATTTTGCCGCTCGACCATCGTATACTTTTGCATCGCAAATACATGCATTTATGTGTCTTACAGTCGCCTGGTCTAGCATAAAAAAGCAATTACCTCGTTTAAGGGAACGGTGGACTTAAAAAATTAGTTTTTTAAGTTTTTGTGTTTTCAACAAGAAATTTCATACAAACATATTATAACATCAGTTTATAAAATATGTGTTCAAAATTTCAATTTATTTTAAATTAACAAATTAAAAAAAATATTAATTATTTTATTTGAAGATTAAAAACACTCCTTGAGCTCTAATTTTCAATATTTTTTCCTAATTTTTCCGTTTAGTTAGTTATAAAGACTTCACAATAGACTTTGCGTATCCGTTATTGAATAGGATGCATCAAAAATTTTTAAAAAGGATTTTTGTGAACTTAAACCCAGTTTTTGGAAAAAAGTTACCTTTTGTTAAACATTATCACAAGTTTAAACTTTTTAATAACCTCATATTCAAATATGCATACACAGTTCTACCGTAACATATAACAAGACAGTTTGTTCCAAATATCATTCATTTTGAACTAAAAATGAAACGCAGGGAGCATTTTCAAGACATAGGAACTGCGAAAAAATTTGTTTTGTGAAAACCGAATTTAAAGCTTTTTTTCAAATTTACCTTTAATACACGGTCATGAGAAACAGCAAATTAACTTTAACTATGAATTTGTAAACGCTAGATAACATTTTCGTATCATTTAACCATTTTTAATCTCATAATATTAAATATGACAAATATAAACATATCTCAAATTGGTATGTGATTCAAAGCTATAGGGAGAAACAATTTATGCATTGTATCCAATGAAACTTAAAATTCACCCGCACCCTATGTTTTACCTTCATTTGTCACATTTACATTATCTTTTAATGCTTTACAACATTTTTTACGGTTTTTTTTTTTTTTTTTTTTTTTTTTTTTTTTTTTTTTTTTTTTTTTTTTTTTTTTTTTTTGTTTTTTGTTTTGGTTCAAGCCACGCTGATCTCGCTTTTTTGCAATGAATAGGGAAAACGAGTTTCCCCATGCTTTACGCGTAACTGAGTTAAATTCCTTAGTAGTTGTCAATCCTGACATTTCTAGCCTTTTTTTTTTTTTTTTTTTTTTTAGAAATAAACACTTCTTTTGGGCAAATATATAAATTATAACTGTTTAAATACATTTTTTTAACATTTTCCTCAAATTTTAAAGGGCAAAGTTTACATTGTTTATACATTTTAAATGCTTTTCTTTAAAAATTCAATGTTTTGGTTAGCTATTTTAAAGTCCACGGTCTCCTTAACGTAATGAAACGGGTGGAGAACTTTAAAAAAATGCAAATTCAATTAATTTTTTAAGAAAAAAGGAAGTAGCACGTTCGTAATTTTAAATGACTGTGACATAAATTACATGATTACGATAGAAATGCTTTTTGCTATTACTTTTCGAAGACTCACGTGCAACCTCTTGCTGTCAAACTTATAAAACAGCCAAGATTGACTTAAGTTGCCATAATGCCTATTTTTAAAGAAAATTTTGCTGCTGACGTCAGAGAATTTATTTCGTTGTGGTTGTCTTTTTCCAAGTATGATTTCTATATATATATATAAGTATTCTTTCCCCTATTGAAACGAAATAGAAAACATTATAAGAATATTTAGGTCCTGTTAAAATTTCTGACGAAAATTATTTTTAGTTCTTACAATATAACCTACAAAGTCCACTGATATAATTTTATTCAGTAAAATTTTAATTTCGAAAACAGTTTAAAAAAAATAAATAAAAAGAAATATCTGAAAACTTCCAGATTTTATAAGCCTAATAATTTTTTTGATGGCGGCCATTGCTTGTTTACATTTGAAACAGCAGAGTAGTGAATTTGTTGCCAATCTAGAGAAACGTAGCTTCGCAACAACAAAGATAAAATGCCTTCATTTATCATTGCGATTTAAATCATGATTAATCCGTTCTGGAATTTTTTCGAGGAAATAAATGTTTAAGATTTATTTAATTTTTAATAATTAGTAAATTTTAATACAGATATTTTGAAATTTTATGTATTTTTGCTTGTCGCGAAGTGAGAACTCAATTAATTGAATGAGAAATACTCAATCGTCTGAGAAAAACTGTTTCTTTTTTGTTTTGTTTGCTTAATTTCTTCTATACATCGTTCTAGCTTTATTATAGTATTTGAATAGAACATGTGGCAACGATTGGATAATTCTTTAAATGATACAAATTTTGTGCATTCTGAGTTATAATATGACCTAATATAATACTGTTAAGTGAACCTAGCGCCAGAGTGTCGCTATGGTAAACAAATAGGGTGAATTTTAAAGAATGCATTTATTCTATT